TAAAAAAAATTTAGGACCCTCATTAACACACCAGTGATTGAACATGGGGTTCACTCTGCCAATGTAGGACTAAAGTCCCCTGCTTCTGGGAGAGTTTGGGGAGTGATATTAAGAATTAGGGAAAATCTTCAGAAATTTGAGATCAAAGTATGCGAAACCCTATTAATTATACACACTATCTTGGCTCTTCAAATAGTTTAGATGCCTATGGAGGAACACGGTGATGAATATATTATTTCCTAATGTACACACAATGTCAGCAAGTAGTAGATGCTTACTATATACTAATAAAATTTTAAAGGGGGATGGGTCCTCTCTCAAAGAAATGCCCTACTGTTGCAACTTTCTTCAGTTCATGTCATTTGATTTTCTAATATCCTAATGTATGTTAATAAAGTATAGGCATACTTTGTGAAGTATTTAATAATAAAATATATTGATTTCTTAAAAAAAATCCACACCATTCAATACACTGAAAGACAGAAAAGTAAGAATCCACATACAATCACCTCAACAGAATGAGGAGAAAGTCGGAAACACTAATGTTCAACGAAAACTTCAAGGACAGTAGAAGTAGGAAGAAACCTTAGCTGACAAGAAGCATCTCTGACATCTACTTCAACTAACACAATAAATACTTACTGAGGGAAACAATCATATTTCACGGTAGGAGACAGAGCTCCTATAATTGAGGACAAGGCAGAATAATCTGCTCACTTCTCCTATTTAGCATTGTGCTTACAGGTCCCAAGCAAGACAGTGAGGAAGAAAAACAATCGTGAAAAGAAGACAGATCTCAAGGGAAGAAGTAAAGTTGTCTTTATTGGCAGATGACATCATCATACACAAGGACTATCCTATGAAGTCTATAAAAAACCTATTAGCGCTAAGAAGCAAATTCAGCAAATTTGCAGGATACAAATTTAATAGCCCCAAATCAATTATTTTATGTAATAGCAATAAATGGAAAATTAAGTTCAAAAAAATCACAGCAGCATAAAAGAGCATACAGATAGTTTAATGACATAAATAAACACCATCAGGTGCTGGTGGCTCACGTCTGTAATCCTAGGTACTCAAGATGTTGAAATCTAAGGTTCAAAGCCAGCTCAAGCAGTAAAGTCCAGAATCTGATCTCCAACTAACTGCAAAAAGCCAGAAGTGGAGGTAAGACTAATGTGGTAGAGCACTAGCCTTGAACAAAAGAGCTAAGGAACAGTACCTAGGCCCTGAGTTAAATCCCCAGTATGGTACAAAAAGAAAAGAAAAGAAAGAGAGAGGTGGGGGGAGAAAGGAAAGGGGGAAGGAGGGAGGGAGCGAGAGAGAGGGAGGGAAAGAAAGAGAGAAAGGGAGAGAGAGAAAGAAAAAGAAAGAGAGAGAAAGAAAAAGAGAAGGAAGGAACGAAGCAAAGAGGGAAGGAGAAGAAAGAAAGAAGGGACGAAGGGAGGAAGGAGAGGAAAAGAAAGAGAAGAAACATAGATAAGATCTCTACTCTGAAAAGCAAGCACTGTTGCTGAGAGAAAGTAGTCCAACCTTTAAGACTTGAGTGATATATATCAGATTCATGGGTTGGAAGATCCTAAACCATCACAATGCTCTACAGATTCGGTGTAGTCCCCGACAAAATTTCACTTTCGTTTTTGAAATTAGAAAGAAATGTTGGGAGCTGGTAGTTTACATCTATAATACCAGCTATTCAAGATGCTGAGATCTGAGAATTGTAGTTTGAAGACAGCCCAGGAAGAAAAGTCCTTGAGAGACTCTTATTTCCAATTAACCACTCAAACACCAGAAGTGGAGCTATGGCTCCAAGTGGTCAAGTGCTAGCCTTGAGCAAAGAAGCTCTGGGACAGTGCCCAGAACCTGAGTTCAAGCCCCACAACTGACACATGCAAAAAAAGAGGAACAAAAGTTGAGAAATTAAGAATGGTTGTTTTAACACAAATTATAAAACTTCAGTACGTAAGATCACGTAGAAAAGGCATACAGATAGTCAAATAGATCAATAGAAAAGAAATAAACTCATTGTACATTGGGCTGATTTTCAACAAAGGTGCCAATGCAGTGCAATAGGAAAGATGATCTTTTCAACCAATGGTGTTGACCCCACCAGGTTTCTATATGGCATAAAAGCAATTTCAACTCATACCTCCTGTCATTCACAAAAGGTAACTCAAACTGTACCACAGATCCAAAGGCAAAAAGCCAAAATGATCTCCAAAGCTCCTAAAAGGTAAAGAGAAGGGCATCTTTACTAGTATGAGGTTAGAGCTAGAATGCATAAACTGTAGAAAAAATATTATAATCTACATTTTCTTCGAATGAAAGCCATCTGCCTCTTGGGGAGACTGAAGAAGGATCACCAAGCACTAGAGACTGAGACACATACCTGACACAGAACACATACCTGACAAAGGACCAGGACCTATTGGCATATACAAAGAGTTCCTACAACCTAATCAAAAGCAGAGCAATCCAACACCTCCCCTCTACAAAGCTCGAGGTGAATGCCTTAGGCAGACAATTTCTAAATGAAAATGCATAGGCAATTAGCAAATGCCAAGATGTTCAACTTCCGTTGTCAAGGACATGTGAATCAAAACCACAGTGGAATGCCTTTATCCAGTCAAGAGAACAACTAGGAAATAAGGTCAAAGTGAAGCTCTACCTGTGGCTAGGGTCAGGGCAAACTAAAAGCTACAACCATTTTGGAAAATGGTGTGTCAGTCCTTAAAAAGTTAAACATGTGGGCCAGTCACTCTGTTCCCTGAGAGTTATCCAAGAGAAATGAACACCCATAAAAGTCTCATGCAAGCATACTCATGGTGGCTTTATTTTATAATAGCCTATACCCAGAAAGAACCAAGAAATGACAGAACAATCAATTTGTGGTGTTTTCATACCAGGGAATACTGGTCAGCAGTGAAAAAGAATGAACTGACACACATATCACAATGAGTTCTAAAAATATTTGCTGAGCGATATAAAGCACACACAAAACCATCCATTGGTAAGAGCTTCCATAGTCAGCCTGCACTTCTGGACACTCTCCAGACCCAGGGAGGTGAACCCAGCCATGGTTGCCACCTAATGACAACTTCAAGTTGAGCTCCTGCTCCAGACAAAAGCCACTAGCACTCAACAACATCCACAGGTCATCAGAAAGCTGTCTCTCAGTAAGCCTTGGAGAACCAGTCCTCTGCTAAATCATTCATGTTGCATATTAAACCCATGATCCTCGTGTCCCCAGACTTCAGTGAGCAACAGAAAGAGACATTTCAACAGACAACTTCAGAAACGAGAGAGAAACCGAAAATGAGCAAGAAATAGGAGGACCTTAAGGAGAGAAGCACCTGGATGTCAGCAGTGCATTGCCTGCACCCCTTCCTGCTGTCTTGTGGGGTATGAGGCTTAGGGCCTACTGCCAGGTTCAGAGCCCTGCACCCTCCTTGCCAACTCCCAGACCACACGCAACGTGCTCCAGGAAGACCAGAAGCAGCATTGAGGTTGCTCTCCAGAGGCCAAAACCCAGGTTGCAAGCTGGCCTTGGGACTGACCCACAGTTGAAGTATATTCTAGTAGCATCCTCTCCAACAACAGACAGCACAGGTGTACTGCTGCCCCCAGCAGCCCTCCACCTGGGCATCAGCACCATGAGTGGACATCAATCAGATGATGAGCTGTTGACCACCCCAGAGACCTCCTCACCTCTCTCCACACAATCTGGCTACGCAGTAGACAGGTGGGTCACAGTAACGCTGCCCGAAGGCTGTCTCATGCTGGAGATGTCAGAAATCCAGACCCGGAGCAGGAGCACCCTCGAGAGCTCTCACATGATGGGAAGTGTGGGCTCAGAGAAAGTCACAGAGCTAAGGCCACGAGGCAATAGAGGTAAGGCCACATGGAAATCAGGGAAAAGGCCACATGGCAGTCCACAAGGCCAATCCCCAGTCCTGCACTGCTCAGCAGGGAGAAATCCCAAGAAAGCTGCCCATACTACCCTCCTGCCCTTCAATCTCTGGCCTCTCCCTACCTGACCCCACTCCCCACTTGCATGTCAGGACCCCTACCTGCCACAAGACTACAAGTACCTCTCTCCCTCAGCGACCCAGTGTGAGCCTTCCCTCTGCTTCTGGACCAATTCTTCCATCCACAGAAGGAGTGGGGGGGTCCCTCAGAGCTCTGCTGTGAAAAACCACACAGGTAACCAGTGGACAGGCTCACAGACACAGGCCCCATGAGCTTGCCTGACAGACACTGTACAGGAAGGCACAGAGGAATGAGGGCTCTCTTGATATCGACACTTGAGGGAATCTTGGGGTTCAGCCTGTACACTGACCTGTACAAGGGGCATCAGGAGAATGGATGGCAACTGGGGGAAGTGGCCTTGGGAGTCTTTCCTGCCTTGGCCAGGGGAGGAAGAAGGATATGGGCAAAGGTGTGTGTGTTTGTGTGTGTGTGTTGTGTGTGTGTGTGTGTGTGTGTGTGTTGTGTAGGGGACCTGTGACCCCACTGGGCTTAATTCTCGGGGTTCAGTGCTCTTTCTGCCTCCTTAGCTCTCCATAGTCAGGGCAGGGCAAGAAGGGGAGGACGTGTCTGGTCCTGTCTGGTCCATGCCTCCCTGGGGCAGTTTGTGCAGTGGTCCGGACAGGCTATGTCCCAGGCTGTTGCTTGGATCTGAAGGTAGAACATTCAGGAAGCCCTTGGTTTGGAGGTGTTTAGAAGAGGTGGGGACAGGGCCATTTCAGGATTTGGACAAGTGGTGTCCACTATAGGGATGTCCCATCTATGAAAGCCTCAGACCTCTCTGACTGGGCTGGCTTTGCGTGGCCTTCTCAACTGTTCTAGATTGCTGTAGTGTGGTGGTCAACATTAGACCCAGATACCTGGACAGACCTGGTTCTCACCCTTGCCTGGCAGGTTCCAGGCCGTTAGCTGGTGGCGGTCCCCACCTCCCTCGCCCCTGTCCTCCATGGTCTCCAAACAGAGAAGGTACTCACTGATGGGTGCGTGTAAGGCCACGTGCTCCTGGTACGGTGTATAGTACTTGTACTGCTTTCCACAGAACTCGCAGGTGTAATTGCCAGTTTCTGTCCAAGGAGAGGAAGGTGTGAAATGGACACCTAGCTCCCACCCAGTGCATCAGTGTTTCTCATCCCCAAACAAATTCCTCCTCATTTGGGACTACCAGTGAGTGAGAATCAGCTGACTCTGAAGTCACACTGTCTTGGTTCAAATCCCAAGTTTGGCCATCTCGAGCAATGTAACCTCAGGGAAGTGTCTTAACCTGTCTGTGCCTCAGTTTTCCTAGTTGTAAAATGGAGCTAGTAGGAGGACCGCCTTGTAGGATTGCTGTGGGGATTAAATTTGTACACCAAGTCTTAGAACAGTACCTGGCACATGCTGTTCTCTTCCACCACCACCACCGCTCCCCCTTCTCCCCCTCCCCACCCCCTTTCCTGGCCCTGGTATTCAGGAAGTATGCTGCGACCCCTGCTGACTGCCAAGGTTAACCTCTGCATCAGCACTAGTGCAAGCCACACCCTTGGGGGCTCTGTCCTCAAGCACCTCCCCCTGGACTGGCAGCAGCCAGGGTCATTTCTTCCTTGCAGACCCCCTAGACTTTACCTTTACCTCTCTTCTGGCTCTGCCTAACTTCTTTCTTCTTAAAAATGTCTGATGTAATATTGTTCACTGGGGGAAAATTATAAAATACTGATAAATACAAGTACCAAATCTTAAGAAGAAATAAATTTCAATGGTCTGTAATTCCCCACACAAAGAGAAGCCCATTTCCCCCTGGGAACAGAGCCTCCAGCCTCCTGGCCACAATCCCGCCTCCAGCTCCCACACCATCTGGGGTCACTTCTCTGGCTGCTGTCATTTGTCTGGCTCCTGTGGCCTTGAATTAGCCAGCCCTGATCAATATCCTCTTTGTAACCTGGTATATTCAATCGACAATACTTTGTGGACATCTTGCCCAATCAATAAGTATCGATCTTCACTGCCTTTATTGGTTGATGGTTCCCATGGGACTCTGGAATTTGCTGAGCCAGTTGGCCTCCACCAAGGGACATTAAGGTTTGTTTCCATTTTGTTTTCTCATTTTTTTTTTTAAAATGCTGTGATCCACATCCTCATAGAAATGTTTGCACATTTACTCATTAGTTTTGCACATGATGGTAAAAAAAATAGATGATAGCCCAGAATCTTTGCACAGAATCTTTCCCCCAAGTAGGGGGAAGAGGGAGGGTAAGCTGTTGAAAAGGTTTTTTGACAGCCATACCCCCCACTGTCCCCACCAGAAAGGTTTAAAAACCACAGGACAATATTTAACAGTATCTGTTTTGCATATCTGAGTGAGCAGCTACATTGTGAATCTGGGGCTGCTTTCCCTTTCTTTGATTTGTAAAGAAATTGATTATTTTTCTTGTTTAATTAATTATAGGGTATTATTTTTCTTTCATGACTTTCCTTTCAAAAGCACAAAATTCTTTGCAGATTAAAGACATCAACATTGTGTTACTACTGTTATAAGCACTTTTTTTTTCTCCTTAAGTGCCTTCTTGGTCTGTCTGTGGTGTTTCTTTCCCAATATAGTAGCTATAGAACTTCAATTTTTGCAGTGACTTGGAAACACTGTTGAAGGTAGGTCTGTGAGCTCCTACTTAGAAGCTTCAATGATGTTTGATCAACTGTATTAATTAGATATATTCAAATCCCATTTAACCTCATTTTGTTGACTTACTCTGGCAAAAGAAAAGATTTTATAACTGAAATCAAATATTTCATATTGTTCTATTTTCTAAACTTACATGGTATATTTAGATACAGTGTGGTTGGACATCCGAAGACTCTAGTATTAAAATCTGTACTGTGAACTGTATCTTTTTTTTTTTTTGGGTCCGGTCGTGGGGCCTGAACTCTGGGCCTAGGCGCTGTCCCTCAGCTCTTCAGCTCAAAGCTAGCGCTCTACCACTTGAGCCACAACACCACTTCCGGCTTTTTTCTTTTTTCTTATGTGGTGCTGAGGAATCAAACTCAGGGCCTCAGGCATGCAAGGCAAGCACTCTACCACTGAGCCATCTTCCCAGCCCAACTGTATCTTTTGTTAACAAGAAATTATCTTCTACCCCAGTGCCTCTCAAGGCGTGGCTCCTGTACCAGCAAAAACAGTAAGACAGGAGCTGGAAAAAAATATGGTCGTCACTGGATTGGCCCCAGACCCATTAAAACAAACAAACAACACACTTCTAGGGAGGGGCGGGGACTCAGCCATTTAGAGAATGAATGGAAAGTTTCAGAACCAGTACTCTCTACTAGTTAAACTGTTGCATTAGTTCATCTGTCATTCATTTGTCAGATCATGCTTCCTCCCTCTTTCCATGGGTCTGAAGATACCTCCCTACATTTCCTTGTCCCTCCGTTTGAGGACTGTGCCAAATACCAGCACTAAATGCTGAGCCAGAGCTGTCATGGTTCCTGCCCTTAAGTTTATTTCCAGAAAAATCAATCACACAAACAAGTGTAAAGCTGCAATGTGGTAGGTGTTCTCAGGGAAACAGAGACAATGGTGGGAAAACCCACCACAGTGACTCTAAGGAGGGAAGTGGGAAGGGAGGGAAGGCGGGAAGGAAGGAGGAAGGGAGAGAGGGAAAGCCTAAAGCTCAAAAAGGATAAGGAATGAACTAGGTATGCCCATAATTAGACATACCTATTAAGGATATATCTAATGGGTGATGGGAAAATAAGGATGACAGCCCAGAATCTTTGCACATTATTTCCTCAGGATAAATTCCAAGAGGCAGGGGAGGGGATGTGATGACTTTAAATTAACCTGGCACTTTTTGTTTTCTAACAATGGAGATTTATACTGTATGCTTTGGTTTTGCAAACTGAGCACCCCTAATCCAAAAAATCCAAAATGCTCCAGAATCTGAGACCTTCTGTGTACTGACACATCAAAGTGGCAAAGTCTATATCACGAACTTTGTTTTTCCATAAAGTTACTAAACAAATATCTTGTATGCCAGGTGATGGTAGCTTACACCTGTAACACTAGCTAACCAGAAGGCTGAGATTTGAGAATCCAGTTTAAAGTCAGCCAAGGCAGACAGATCCAAGAGTCTTATCTCCAAAAGGCCAGAAGTGGAGGTATGGCTCCAGTGGTAGAGCCACCAGCCTAGAATGAAAAAGCCAAGCAAGAGGCCAAGACCCTGAGTTCAAGTCACAGAACTGGTGTGTGCATGCTCTCTTTCCCAAGCTCCATCTCTTCTTCTCTCTTTCTTTTTCTTACACACACACACACACACACACACACACACACACACACACACACACACACACACACACACACACACACACACACACACACACACACACCGTCTTACTCTACGATATCTCATTACGGATATGTAAATGTTCCAAAATCTGAAAAATTCCAAACTCTTCTCATTTCAAGCATTTGAGTTTAGAAATCTCCAGCCTCTACTTGCTCTATTAGCCTCTCTCTCCGCATGCTTCCTGCTTCCTGGCTGTTTCCTCAGCTTTCTATCAATCATTTGTATATGAACCTCTTGCGTTGCCTTTCCATGATTACCAATGTACCATTATTTCCTAATAGTCTCTTGTTATTTTAGACTGTATATATCTCTGTAATTGTTAGTAGCTGAGTGGAAAATGGCATTTTTAAGACTGTTATCACTGGGTAATGTAGTTTAACCCAGTGTTTCTCATGTAAGAATGACCTAAGAAAGATGCTCACAGCATAGTCCTTCAGTGGGCCTGCCCCAGGGTTGCAGGTAATTCTGCAGGTTGGGATAAGGTCTCAGAGTTTGAATTTCTACAGCTTCTCAGAGAGGCTGATCTTGTTGGTTAGGGACTTAACAAAGAGCAGGACTGCTTTAGTCTATTGTATTCTTCACCAATTCATGCCTTTTTCTTTTTTTTTAAAAGCAATTCATTTCTTTCATAGTTTAAAATTTGAGTTCAACTGGTTTAGAGCTCCAAGTTCTTTTATACTATGGCCTCTAAAGAGCAACACTGAGTCATTAATCCCAGTTTTTTTCCAGATAGATAATTTTTAGATTAAAGATCTTCTTTAATTACTTTCTTTTGGCATTCAGTACTACAGCAAAGTGTGAAGTAAGTCCTCCTTAAATTCATGTGTAGGTGATTTTGCTTTTCTCTTTCTGGTTATAGTTTTCTTTTTCTTTTCTTTCTTTCTTTCTTTTTTTTTTTTTTTTTGTCGGTCTTTGGGGCTGAACTCTGTGCCTGGGCGCTGTCCCTCAGCACTTCAGCTCAAGGCTACGTCCTACCACATGAGCCACAGTACCACTTCTGGCTTTTTTTCTGCTTATGTGGTGCTGAGGAATTAAACCCAGGACCTCAAGCATGTGAGGCAAGCACTCTACCACGATGGTTATAGTTTTAAATAGTCATGTGGATCTGTTTAGATAAAAGTCTTCTCATGTTGATTCCACCTAACACAATGGCGAGCCATTAAAATTTACATATACATTTCTTCTTTTAGCTGAGCAACTTTTTCTTCTATTAGATCTTTTGAGTATTTCATCGGCCTCACTGGTATTCTATCACCAATTATTCAGGGCTGGCTCCCTGTATCTGTCTGTATTTCTTATTGTCTTCATCTGGTCCAGTTCATTCTCCACATCACTATTTTCATGTGGAGGGAAGGGAACGGAGGGAATGGGACAGGAGGGAAGGGAGGGTGAGGAGGGAAGGAAGGGAAGGGGAGGGGAGGGAAGGGGAGAGAAGGGGAGGGAAAGGAAGAGAAAGAGAGGGGAGGGGAAAGGAGAGAAGCAATAGAGGAAGGGAAGGGAAGGGTAGGAGAGGGAAGGGGAGGGGAGGGAAGGGAAGGAAGGAAAATTGACTCTGTTGTTTAATTTGTATAATATACATTTTAATTCCCTTCTTATATTTGTTTCCCCCACGTCTTTTCTCATCTTAATACCTTCTCTGCCTTTTTATCTTATCCTACATTTTTTGTAGTGCTCGGGTTTGAACTCAGGGCCTTGCATTTGTCAGGAAGATGTTCCACTATCACTTGAACCATACTATCAGCCTTCTACGCTTTGGTTGTTTTTCAAATAGTCTTGCTTTTTGCCTGGGCCAACCTGTACAGCGAGCCTCCTATTTATATTTCCTGAGTAGCTGAGATAATATGTGTGCCCCACCAGGCTTAGAGCTTGTTATTGGCTAAGACAGAGTATAAAATCAAACTGTGATCACTCCAAGCTCAGCCTCCTGAGTTGCTGGGATTGCATGGCTGCTTCCATTAGGCTCTTGTGTCACAGGTGTCAAGCCATGGGCTAATCGCATCCATCTCAGACTCACATGGTGAGGCTCTAGCCTCCTGTGTAATGATGCTATTTGGAGGGAGGGCCTTTAGGAGATAATTAAGATTAAGGTTAGAGGAGGTAACAAGGATAGGAACCACATGATGGGATAGAATAAGATATACCAGACCCCCTCCCCCCCTTCTCTGTCATGGGAAGATGGGAAGGACAAGATCTTAGACCTAAACTTTCACCTTCAGAACTGTGAAAAGGTAAATTTCTGTTAAGCCACTAAGTCTGTGGTATTTCTTCAAGGCAGTCCCAAAACTAAGGTTTTTCTTCCTTCCTTTCTTCTTCCATTTTCTTTCCTTCCTGTCCTCTCCCCTCCCCTTCCACCTTCCTTCCCTTCCTTTCTTTTTGAGACAAGATCTCACTAGCCCAGACTGGCCTTGAACTCTTGACAGACCCTCTTGTCTCAGTCTCCCACATGCTAGTTTATAGGTGCGAATCGCCATGTCAAGCCACTGACAGTCCACTGAAGCTGTCCAGCTGTTGGTTTTATTTTTTATTTTTGGATGTACATAGATTTTGAGATCATTTGCCCTTTGAGATATGCCCTTCTTTGGAGTCTCCTAAATTCTCCTTTTCTTGTTCTATAGACTTTTCATAGCTCTCACACTTTGGTTTCTCTGCTTTCCAAGCTTCTCTTCCTTAGGCAGGCATAAAAATCAAGCAAGCCAGAAATAAATCTGCTGCTTTACTCTATCCCGGCAGACCCCAAAGACAGCAAGGTGTACTCAATCCTCCCTCTGCCCATTGCTAGAGTAGAAATGCTCACACCTGCAGGTGAAGAGCAAGCGCCAGCCAGCCCACACAGTCCTTCTAGCAGGTGCCCTCCATCACAGACCCCTTTCCCCCTACCCAAGTCCTACATCTCTTATTTGCTCCGTGGAAGGCATTCTTGCTGCCTAAGTTGTACATCTTCTCCTGACCCTGGAAGATTTTCTTACGGTGACTGGTCCCTTCAGAAATCCTGGTGCCTCAACTAGCTCCCCTGATCCTATGCCTCATTACTTTTAGGGTTCTGGGAGGCAGCATGCTCCCAAGGACCCATGGAAGTGCCAGAGTCAGCAGTCATCCCCCAAGGGGGCTCCTCGGTGGAACAAGACACATCTCAGCTGGCTCCTGCAATCTCAGCTCGACCACAGTAAGCGGGGACAAGACCCCACCTGCTCTCCTCAATACACAACTCCACACTGTGTCAGCTGTGGTGTGTCCTCTCAAGCCCTAGCGTGGGCTGTCAGTGAGATGTAGCTACAGACACAGGGGGAGGGTTCATCTTGTTCTTCATCTTCCAGGGGGTTTAACAAGTCCCCACTTATTGGAAGCTTTCCGCACACCCGTCAAGGACTAGACTAATTCCCTTACCAATATAATCTCACCTAATCCCCAAGATCATCCAGAAAGGGGAGTCTTATTGTCATCAGCTTCACTTAAGACTTAGGAAACTGGATTACACAGATTACAGGACAGCTGGGAGGGGCATGTGGGTGGCTTAGAACTCTTCTTCTGATTTTTCCACAAGATGTCATTATTATACCCAGAGTCAGGCAATGGGCTAGACACTGAATGCATTCTCCAATAGGTAAATGTTTGCATCCCCAATTTACAAATGAGACAAGGGAGACTCAGAAAGGGTAGATAGCCTGACAGCTGGTACATTCATGCCCAAACTTGTCTGATTCTGTCTGTAAGGACTATGCCACAGCTGGGAGGGCAGGGATTTGCTGGGGCCACTAGGAGATGGAAGACAGGGACAGAAGTGGGAAACGTCAGATTTCTGCCATCACGTTTGTGTAGCTGAACATGAGTATCCTTTGATCCTCCCAGAATGCATTCCGGGACACTGGGTGCCTGCCTGATCACAGCGGTGTTCCCCTGTACCATCTGACTCACAGCGGGTTAAGTGCTGAAGATTCATCCTCATCACCTGCAGAACTGTTTTCACTGTGAATCTATTGAGTGCTGACCGTGCATGGGATGGGCTCAGTGCCATCCATGTCATAGACATGATCTCTGAAGTTTGTTTCTCGAATGACTCAACAGAGCTAAGAAGAAAGTCTGCAACCATGCTTTAATCAGAACATGGTGGCAGGCAGAAAAAGCTTTCAAGGAAAAGCTTTCCAAAGGTCTGACTCCAGTTCCTTCTCTGCAGAGCACACCAGTATCTTAGTTCCCGTAATTTTCTTCTCCAATGTCTCTCGCCCCTTTTCTGTGATCTGCTGTGAATTTTTGCCACTGGGTCTTAAAACCCTATTGCAACAAAGGGACAGCAAAGGTCTCTTCTTGCAGGGGAGTGTGGAAGGCACAGGAGAGCACAGAACTTGCTGAAGGGCAGGGCTGGATGGAGCAGTTGCCTCACCTGCCCCAGGTTGGCCACCCAGCCCCTTCCAACCCTTCTGCTCCCAGCCGCCACTCCAGCTTTCCTCTAAAGTGTAATGAACCCACCATGTCATCTCTGGCTGCCACCTCTGGCCTTCGGAGTCTGGCTCTCCTTTCCTTAGTAAAACTAGCACCCTTCCTGCCTTTGGCTGGGGTGAAAGGCTCCTTCCCCATCCTCATCCCAACCCTGGAAGCCTTCGCATTCCCGGCCCCATGAGCTCCCTGCACATTGCTGGGCTGTAATTACCATATCCACTGCCCCCTAGCCCTCCTGCCCACCCCAACTCCTGTGCTGGTTTCCTATGGGCAGGGCTATGCCTGCCCTGCTCACAGTGGTGCTCTCACATCTCTCGGGGCAAGTGGTGGGAAACAAGCAAGGAACACGTGGCATCTCCTCATGTGGGTTTACCAGGACCAGAATAGAGTGTCTGAGTGGGGCTGCACTGCGCAGCTTGGTGGGTTGAGCCCCTCCCAGGCCTCTTCCAGTTAGTTGCTTTCTACACACCTATCATGTACCAGGCACTGTACTAACAAGTGGCTTATATCCATGATCTCATTTAATCCCCCAACAAGCCTGTGGGGAGCATGGTCCTCATTTCACATACCTTGGCTGCCATCAGTGTCCTGCCTTCACCCCCATTGACTGCGACTTCTTCAGGGCTAATGTCCTGACTATACCTGGTGGCACTGTTGCTAGGGGACAGAATGCCAGCTCCTCCTGGTATCAGGACTCAGACCCACCTCCCTCACCCCGCCCTCCACCCCGCCCTCCGCCCCAGGGTCCCGCATACTTGGCCCGATTTTCTGAAATGGCTCTGGGGGTTCCTCCTTCACCTCATCTGTGGCCACGACACCTTGGTCAAATGGGTCTGTGGGAGAGAACACATGGCCGTCAGCACCCTGGTCACCCAGGTCTAGGGAGCCCAGTGGGGAACAGGGAAGATGGGCAGCCACAAGGACTTACCTGCCCGATTCTCGGGGGCCCCTTCCACACTAAACACTGCACCCCGGGTAGGAAGCGATGGCCACAGAAGGAAAGAAGCAAAGAGGAGCCCTTGTTAATCCCTGGCCCTGGCTGCCTCTGCCCACCTCTCCCAGCCTCTGTTCTAGTCAGTTTGCTTTTGGTTCCAGCAAGGATGCTCTGGCTAGTGGGCTGTACCTCTAGAGGGCACACACCCACCAGGACACAGCCCACCCAAAATTTTGCTTTCCTTCACCACTGGCAGATGCCCACCTATCTGGGGTCAGACAGATGCTTTGTGCCCACACCTGTGTCTGTGTCTGCAGGGTCCCCAGCATGCACTGTGGGTAGAGGAGGAGTGATGAGGCAGAGAACAAGAGGGAAAACAGAGGTAAGAGCAGGACAAGCTAGCGACACAGATTTTGGCCTATGTCACTGGTCCAGCTGGCTGGAGGGGTGGGGGCTGGACAGGAAACACCCAAATCCTTCTCATATCCAAACCTTCTTTCTAGGATGCTTAAAAGTCTATCAATGAATCACCCAAATTTACTGTTCTAATTTCTAACTCTCTAAGATGTAAAAACGTCATCACTCATGTTTAAAAATTGGTTTAATTTTACTAGCACATGCAAATACTCAAAATAAAACTGAAATGACAAGCTAGGAAATTTCAAAATCCGACTGATATTGTCTTTGAGAAGAGAGAAGTTTCACATGTGAACCTAAACAGAAAGGCCCGTGGCTCATGACAGGGGCCCTTCCTCCCCCAGGATGCCGCCCCATGTGGCTTGGTGCTGCACGATCTTTCTCTGAATTAAGGAGTTGGGGTAGGTATCCCCAAGGAAGGGACCTGCTAAAGACTAAGGAGGGCTGACTCACCATCTACCGCGTGCAGGTCCCGGTGCTCCTGGAAACAGCTGTAGTACTTGTACTTCTTCCCACAGATGTCACATGTGTACCTGAAATTGTCTGTGAGGGAGGCAAAGGCACAGGTACTTTACCCAGGCACCGGCCATCTGGACTGGGGTTTCTGTCCAGAGCATCTGATGGCCTGGGCATCAAAGATAGGACCAGCCCAGTCTGGCTCCATCTAGGCAGCCCCATGGAGAACCTGTTCCTGAGCTACCTGTCCTTGAGCATTGCCCATCTCTTTGTAACTAGGCAGGCCACAGCCAGGCCTGCTCTCTAGATGGATATTGACCCTCCCCAGCCCTTCATTCTGTAGAGGTTAGTCATGGGTTGCTTTCTTGGCCCATAGGGCTTGGGCTAGGGTCTTAAGGGGTCTTCTGTGGAGATGCAGAATAAGGTGATTAGGGAGTCTCAGAGTGAATCCCAAACCAAACCCTAACCTGTCCGATGTGAGCTGAGTTCTCAAGGGCTTGGCTCCTAATGAGTCTCACTCTTGTCACTGTAGCTACTCCATGTGAGATGGGACCTGTGCAAGGTGCCTGGCTCTTATCCTCGCTTTTCCTCTCAGAGAGAGGAAGCAGCCTCCTAATTACATACACAGAAACTGAGCAGGAGGGGACCTGCCCCAAATCTCACAGCTGCAGGGACAATGCCCAGTGGCCCTCACCAGTTGGCATTCACACCCTTTCTGACCTGTTCCCTGCAAGTCGGGGCTAGACCTCAACTCCGGTTCACACTGGACAGAAAGCAGTCAAAGTGAGAAGATGTCACTTCTCACACTTGGCGACCTCCATCTGGCATGCATGATCTTTCCCTGGCTGGCTACCATGTCAGCTAAGCCACAGTGACAAGGAACTGAGGGAAGCCTTTAGTAAGTAGCCAGTGAGGGAAGGAAGCCTCACGATGTGGGAGGGACCAAATCCTGTGGCCACTCTGTGAGCGAGGCACGAAGGAGCACTTCTAGGTGAGACCTCAAGCCTGGCCAAGCCATATATGTAGCACAGTGGGAGCCCTGTGAGGACCAGAGGACCCAGTGAGGCCATGGCCAAATTCCTGGCCAGGGAAACTAGAAATAGGGACCTAAGCAGTTTTTGTTGCTTCAAACAACAAACACTCTCTAATTACCAATAGGTGACTACCTCAGGCCTGAACTTGGAATGTCCACCTGGCTAGAATCACATATTCTCCCTCCCTGGCTACACGCTAGCGTTTGTGCCAGCACAGCCAGGGGCTGATCTGGGAAGAACCGGGAATCAAACATGCATTAACTCTAAGCCAAGTCTGAGTCAGGGCACATGGCCCTTCTCTGCCCAGCCACGCTGTGCCTCATTCCTGGCCTATGGAGCTTCTCTCTAGGCCCCTCTCCTGCTCCTCGACTCCTTGTACAGCATCTAATGAGATCTTCTATTCCAAGAACGCATTGCCTAGCAGTGCTGCAGGAAGGTTTTCTGGGCCTTCGCAGCTGACCAAAAGGACTTGGATGACACTGGGCATCTCCACTTGGTGGGTAACAGGGCCCACAGATGACTGGTCCCTAAGCAAAAAGACCAGGCTTGCCACCTACAGATATTCTAAGGAGGATGGGTACAGCATCTCCCAAGGGGACAACTAGTTGGGACATGAAGGACCAGATGCTTGGTTCTGCTATTCTCCACTTCTTCTTCCAATGAAGGAAATGAGCAGATGCCTGGAATCTCCCAGGCAGCTGATGTAAGCCCTTCTCAGAGGCTGATAATCCAGCTTAGAAAACATCCTCCCCTTCTTGTCCATCCAAGCCAAAATCCCCAACTTCTCCTGTTCCTACTTCTCTGCTAGGCACTGGGACACAAGAGGTGGAGGTCAACTGTGTCAGGCTCCTGTGGGGGATCTTTCCAACAGTCCTGTCTTACACTGACCAGTGTGGACTGTCCCCCAAAGCTTCCCTCCCTGCTTGCTTTATCTGTGCCCATGCAGCCTCTCTCCCATGGGCCCACCCTTCTCACTATGGGTCACATCTGCCACCCCCAATAAAACTGTGGACCACTAGCCTGCTACTGCTGAGGACAGCAAACCTGCCCTGTGAAATTCCATGTGGTTTCCAACATGTGGCAGGGCCACATTTCTAACTCCTAATAGAGGAGTCTGATAGAGCAGGAGAGTGTTCCCCCTAACAGGAGGCAGAAGGATGTAAAAAAACAAACAAACCCAGGTTGTCACAGCCCTGATTGCTCAGTGTGTCAGCCACACCACTGCAAACCAGTTGTAGGAGGCAGCCTGGAGGGAGGCCACATGAACCCGAAATCCCAGTCTGCCACGCGCAAGTGTGACCAACTTGGGCTATGCTCCCGAACCTGAACCTGAACCTTGGTTTTTCCATCTGTGAAATCAGAATTCAGTTCCTTCATCTCCCAGTTGTAATAAGGAATATAAACACACCATGTGGTCATATGAAATAATAATTGTAATAAAGAACTGAGCATCATGCCAAACACCAGCTCATAGTGGGGAAGCAGTGCTTGGCATGGTTTTTGGAACAGAAGCTGTCAGTGAGGCATCAGTGGGATAACCTCTTATCCTCCACCGAGTGCCAGGTAAGTGCATGTCCTCGTGTTTCTATGTGCGACTGGTGAGTTTCCTAATAGATAAACATAACAGAAGGTCCCTGGAAGAGGATGTGTGAGCATTGGTGCCCAGGCCTAGCTTCACTGTTAACAAAGGCATGACTTCCATTTCCCGGGACTCAGTGTCCTCTTCTGTAATGTGGGTAGGGTGGATGTCATGTGTTCTGCAGGACCCTTTAGATCTGAAGTCCTCATGGTCATCCAACTCCCTGTGAGAAGGCTGGATAGAGCATGAGCTGGCCAGGTGCTCTGAGCAGCCCCACTGACTAGGCCAGCCTAGGACGCAGGACTGAGAAGACAACAGAGCACATAGGCTGTGGGGAGAATGTTCCATCAGGAGGAAGAGAAAACTGAGGGAAGGACCAAAAAACGTTCCTGGCCACAGAGCCCCCAACAGCAGTGAGCCCATACATAGCAGAAGCCAGGCAGATCACCCCGGGGCTGCTGGAGATGTCAGGGGCCCAGAATAGCCAAGGAAGGAAAGATAAATAAGGAAGTTCTTTAAACGTGTGGCTGACCACAGGCATACCACAGGAGCTGGAAAAGAAGGGAGCTATTGAGAGAACCGGAAGTCAGGGCCAGGGGGGCAGGGTGGATAGGCTGAGTGTCACACCTCTAAACTGCTCGACTCCTGACCCCCCAACATAGGGGCAGGGCAGAAGCAAGCAGCTCAGCTGGTCACTTTCTACCAACAGAAATCTGTGTAATAGGCCCAGAGATGACAAGGTAGGGGGACAGAAACCCCTCTAATGGGCAGCCTCTCTGGACCTTCCCCAGTGCCCCCTTCCCCTGTGCTTGTGCTTTCTGAGTATACAATCTGGGAGGATGACACCCTAGGGACTGGCTTCTCCTGCTCCATTTTATGTCTGTGTCATCTGTGTGTGTGTGTGTGTGTGTCCTCAGCTCCTCCTGGTCTCTGTCACTACTTCATGGCAGTCTCAGTGTGGGCAGACTCATTTCTCTACTTGATGAGCAAGGGGCAGCTGTGTGGCTTCAGGTCTGGAGCCATTAGAACAGTGCATGAAGTGTCCTAGCTTATGTCTTTTGGGAGTTTGAGGGGGAGGTAATAATGGCGTTTGACTTCAGGGCTTTGAACTTGCTAGGCAGACACTCTACCATCTGAGCCAGGCCTCCAGCTCATAGTTTGCATCTTTTCACAGGCGTACGCATATGCACCTCTGTGGGATATGCACTTCTGTGGGACATATACCTGGGGTGGAATTCCTGATGCACCCCTCCTCCTCCTGCCTAGCCTTTAACAAACCCCACCTGTGAGTTGGAGGGTATGTGGCATCTGTAAGCAGCTATCTTAGATGTCAAGTTCTCACATAACCCCAGGCACTGGCAACAAAGTTCCAATAAGCAACCATGGGTGCTCACAAGACAACTCCCTGCAGCAGCTTCTGTCCTGGGCCAACTACAGAACTCTGCTCTCTAGCCACTTGGAAGGTAAGAAGATCATGGTCTGAGCTTGGCCCTGGGCCACAACTCAAGACTATCTCTGAGAAACAGACTAAAAATAAAAGGGACTAAGGAATGGCTCAAGTGATAGAGCATCTGCCTATCAAGTGCAAAGCTCTGAGTTCAAACCCTAGTCCTGCAAACCCAAACCTCCAGACTCATGAATCAGTATGCAAAGAACACAGGAGGCTCTGTACAATTCAGGCTCTTCTGGGCATGCCCATCCCCAGTGTCAATGAACAGCTGCTCATAATGGGTCTAACTCAATGTTTCCCAAAGTTATCAGGCCAGAGAATCTTTTATTGATTCGATGCCTGTTCATCTCCCCTAGAATGAGCATGCCACAGAACCCACTTTGGGAAGAGCCGCTTTGAAGGCATGGGAAGAGCTGCTTTGAAGGCATGGGCTCTGATTTTCATGAAGCCCCCACATCCCTGGCCACAAAGCCTGCTCCCGCCTCAGTAATGTGTCTCTCAGAGGCCACTTGGGGGTATTCAGGGGAAGGAATGAATAAATGGCTCCCCTTCTCCCACATCCAACAGCCCAGGGGAGAGAAAAGTACTCACTGCTTTGGGAGGCTCCCTCCCCCGACGTGGCTTCAGTGTCTGTGAGAAAGAGACAGGGCGGGCAGGCAGTGAGCCAGCTGACAATGGCAGGAGCAGAGGAGGCTCATAGGGCCGATGCCAAATGAGCAAGCTCCAATGAAGCAGCAGTGGTGGTGAGAGGAACCCCAGGGGATGCAGCCTCAGTCCTTCCCTGGCCCCTGACACCAGCAGGGTCCTGATCCAGGTATCACCTTGTCTTCGCTGCCCAGAGGGCTCAGGGATGGGCAGGCAGCCCTCCTGTCCCCTGGGCTTCAAGATGGAAGTGGCCTCATTCCTGAACTCCCAAGAGGAACATGGGAGTGATGAGACCTCATGGCCCATGACAGTGGGACACGCTTGCCCTCCGTCCTATGGCAGAATGACCAAAAGGACAGGAGAGGATGAGAGTTCTTGGAGCTGCTAGGGACAACTTTGAGGGGGCCCAAGGGGACAAGGGAGATGGGAGGCAAGGCGCTGGGTCATGCACTCACCACGGTGTGCCCGGACATGAGTCTGGAAGCAGTTGTAATACTTGTACTTCTTGCCACAGATGCCACACTCATAAGACCCTGGAAAACAGCAGAGGAAAAGGCTGGTCAGCCAGAGCCACATCTGAGATGACACGGCCTCGGGTCCTGAGAGACAGAGACAGCTGAAGGTCTCAAGTCTACATCTAACTTTGTGCGTGACCTTGGGCAAGGTGGCCCCCACTTTTAGGCCTTTTAGGTGAAGAATGAAGGAGGCGAGTTCCTTAATTGACCCTCACATTCACACCCAGAGGACAATGGAGGCCCAAACAGGAAATGCTCTGCGAGGAACAGCTGCACAAGATTGTCACTCCTTATATGCGCTACCGATTGCCAAGCATGAGCATGAGATGGGGTAAGAAGACAGCTGCCAATCAGTGAACCTGAGTCTCTCTGGCTGTTGAGTCATTTGCATGGCATACTAAGCCTGCATTGGCTCACCAATGCAATGGGGCCCAAAGTTTCTCCTTTGACAGCAGTCCTCACTCCCCTTAGGAGTGTCCAGCCCAGTACGGATACACTCAATGACAGCATCCCTATCCCCACCCCTGCCAAGGCTCTGTAATGTTCCTCAGACACACAGAGAACTAACTATAGGGTGCAACCAGCACTCCAGGCCAGACCACATGGCCCTTCTTCCAGGAGGTACTTGAGGCTGACCAAACAAGAGGGTGGGGGCAAAACAAAGAACGTACAGTGCCCAAGAGTCCCAGGCTGGCAGAGACCCCAGGAGCATAGACTCTGCCCATCCCCACACAGCAGGACTTTCCTGCAGGCTTTAGCCACCTGGGTCTAGATGCCACTCTTCCTAATAGAGCCACCAAAGAATGTATGCAAATGCAGAGGCCTGGGCCCCATCCACCCTTGATACTCTACCATGCTGGAATGAGGAAGCACTAGGAATCAGCCTTTTCCAAAAAGGTGTCGAGGGGACTTTACTGGCCAGCAGTGTGGTACTAGAACTGCTGGATTAGGGTGAAGTCAGGGACAGAGATGCACCTCCATTTCCCTACTGGAGTTCTGTAGGTAGGCAAGATGGCTGGTCTGAACACTGAGCAAGTAAGCCAGGCTCCTTGCACAGCCACATCCAGAGAGAAGCAGAGACTCCATGTTGCCTGGAAGCGGAGGTGCTCATGGTGGCTGTCTCAGGAGTGTGAGCAAGCTGGAAGAACCTCGTGTGGAGACTGAGCGTCAGCCCAATGCTGCCACATAGGCACGGTTTGATCTTAGCCATGTCTCTCTACCTACTTGAGCTTTGTTTTCCTCACCTATCAATAGAATTTTTAATTCCTGCTGGGCGCTGGTGGCTCATGCCTATAATCCTAGCTACTAGGAGGCTAAGAACTGAGGATCACGGTTCAAAGCCGGCCTGGGCAGGAAACTCTAATAAACCACTCAGAAAACAGGAAATGGCACTGTGGCTCAAGTGGTAGAGTACTAGCCTTGCGCTGAGGAGCTGAGGGACAGGGCCTGGGCCTGGGCCCAGAGTTCAAGCCCCACAACCGACAAAAAAAAAAAAATTTTTTTAAAATTTCCCTCACCAGTGAGGTTAGGATCACCAAGAGTCAACATGTAAGCCATTGGCATGAGGAGGGGGAGTGTTGGGGGAAGGGTTTGTGCCAGGGCCATTATGACCCTAACGTGGCATTCAGTAGTCTGTCATTAGGGTTTACACACATGCACTGCTCCTGCTGCACAGAGAAAAAGAAAACATGAGCAGCAGCAAGATCAGGCTGAAGTTTCTCCGCATTTGGCTGCAACTGGCGCACAGCGAGGCTTCCATAAATCCAGTGTCTTGTTACTGTACTCATCTGTCACCAAGTGATAATGTCCCTGATGCTCCTCCAGCCGCCTCTACCACTCTCCAACACTTTCTGCCAACTCCCTTCAACCAACCAAGGATTTATTGAACATCTGCAATAAGCTGGTCTCTGAGGTCCCAACAGTGAGCCAGATGCCATCCGTGTCATCTGCCAAATGGGCCCCAGGCCCAGGGACAACTGGGTGACTGTGTTGACAGCCAGAGCAAGGCCCAGAGACACGAGGCAAGACCTTGGCCCTGCCACCGCGAAGGGGCCGAAGTCTATGACAGTGATGCCATTCATAACTGAGCCAGCCATCCTGGCTCTGTGGGAGTCTCCATGCCCACTCAGACTCTATGCTCAGCCGGAATCATGAGGCCCTGCTGGCAGGCCATAACCCACTCAGGGAATGACTTGGGGCACGCTGGCTCCTCAGCCTCAGGCCATCTCCTGTTCCAGGCCCAGACTGAAGAGGAGCAATGTGCCGGCAGGAGAGATGTTCAAGGCTGTCTCTCACTCACTTGAAGTCTCTGGGCTTCAGGTGCCCGGAGTGTGAGCACAGAGATGAAAGGGGAGATGGTGGGGTATAGTTAGCAGAGTGGCAGCAAGGTCAGCCAATCTGGTTTCCAATCCTGGCTCACCAGGTACCACTCAAGGGAGCCCCTGAGAAGCCATGGGGTGACCTACACCTCAGGATTTTCCTTGTTATGAGACAGTGCCACAGCAGTGGGGAGCAATAAAACTGTGGGTCACACTCAACCTGACAGCTGCCGTAACCATTAGCATTTCCTAAGTTTTCCCAACTTCCTATAGGCATCCCAAGTAAGAGGACCATGGCTTAGCAAGCATGGGGAAGACCTAGTATGAAACCCCCCCCTTTCTGAAGAGGTACAGGTAGGACTCCTGCAGGCCAAGAAGTCCTGAAGGGAGTGGGGGCCAGAGTTCTCCCAAATACAGGTAGTCATGGCACCCTCCTGCCTCAGTGGTACCCACAGGAAGTGCTACCAAACCACCCAGGCAGTCTGGACTTCCAGATTTCCAAATGTTCCATCCCACCAGATACCACAGGCATCCAGGCTCACGTTTGCTGATAGGAGTTGAAGAGGGAGTTCCCTCATTTGGGGTGTGCAGCTGATGGCCCAGTCTGGCTATGCTCTTCCTCCCACATGGGCCCCAATCAGGCTCTGTCCCTAGGCCATCACGTACCAGATGCATATTTCATTGCTTGGTCAAAAATCCAGCTCCCTGAATACCGGCTTCGCAAAGATCCACCATGGAGGCTGCCTTCGGGTGCTTTTCCATCTGAATTACGTAAGAGATCAGAAAGAGCCCTTAATGTTGGAGATTGCCTGGGGGTGAGGGAAGGGGCAAGGTGAGCCAGGGGATCGGCCAACCCACCTGTACTTGCAAAAGCCTCTGTCTCCCCGGCTGTACATGAAGAAGGTTTGGGCAAGGCCTCACAGTCCACCGACTCTCCCTCAAGACCTCTGCTGGCTACAGATGATATGCACACGTGTACCCCGGTGGCTGGGGATGGCTGACAGCAGCCGCAGCAGGCTGAAATCCCCCTGAAGTTTTGTGCTTTCTTGGGATTCTGATTTATGTGGTTATAACACAAAAATTCTCCCCAAGTCCTCCAAAATGACAGCCCACCCTCAATCCATGGAGCTGTATGTCTTGTGTGTTGTGTACCAGGGTCATTACCGACCCTAGGCTTCTGCAAGGATTTTTCTAGGACACTCGTCTTGGCCAGTCCCCTGTCCAGTCTGTATTGCTCTAGCTTGTGGCCACTTCTGTCCCCAGTTCTGTGCAAGGTAACACTGGGGAACTTGTCTGGTATACTCCACTGCAATAATTGCCTTGCCAACTTTAAGACACAGGAGTGGGTCCCAGAGCTTGTTGAAGACAGGAGACTAGAAGAGAGTTGTGACAAGTGAGGTCCCTGAGGCTTTGGGGGACCTTGGCCTCAGAGAAAATGGCCTCTGGAAGAGATCTTCCAATCAGTGCAGAGTCACTAGCCAAGGGCATCTGAGCTGTGGGTACAGCTCTAAGGGAAGTAAGTTCTCAGCTGTCAATTTCTTTAATTTTTCTTTTTCTTTTTTGGTGCTAGTCCTGGTTTGAACTGAGAGCCTGGGCACTGCCCCTGAAGTTTTCTTGCTTAGGTCTATTGCTCTACCATATGAACCACAGTTCTACTTCTGGCTTTTCAGTAGATAATTTGGAGATAAGTCTCAGGACTTTGCAGACCTTGCTGGCTTTGAACTGTGATCCTCAGATCTCAACCTCCTAAGTGTGAACCAACAGAACTTGGCTGTCAACTTCTAAACATGCGCTTCCTTAAACCAGTGCACCAGAGCAGGTGGGCGGCCGGCAGAGGTTTTACTAGCTGGTTCTCCTTTCCACTCTCTCCTCCTGTATCTTCCAGCAAGGAACCATTCTCCCATCTACCCTTCATCCTCACACCTATGGATTACCCAGAACATAAAAAGTTTGGGCTTTAAGCAAAGAGATAACATAGAATAACCAAGTCTGATTTAGATCTGATGATAGGGGACAATCCCTTTTTCAAATCTAGGAACTTCTAATTCTCTGTCTAAATGGAGTTGTTCATGAAGAGACCATCACAAACACTGATGACAGACTCCAGTGTGATTTTTGGCACACATCTAGGAAGGAGTTCAAAGAATCAGGTAACACTGGAAGCCAAGTCCAACCACTGCCAGCTCCTTATTTATATGCAGTGTAGATGCTGACCCTCAGAACACCAAAAAACAGCCAAGAAACCAAGACTACATCTTGTCTCACTCCAGCAATAAGAAATATTAATCCACAGATACATGAGCCAATTGAGAGAAATAAAACTCCATCCATTTCATTAATAAGTGCATTTATGATCATTTTTTACTTTTACATTTACTATTCATCTAATTTTTTTAGACAAATTGCCCACTAACAACAACTCAATCTGAGGGGGGAAAATGGTTTTAAAATGTAGAGCTTTATGATGCCAGAAGTTTTTTTCTTTTTTTTCTTCCTGAAATTTCGATTTTAATTTATACACCGCTTGTTGTGGCGGATGAGTGTGAAAGTGATCAATAAAAGACTTTCAGGCATAAAAAAAATATATGACATTAGGATAGAACTCTGTGGGGGAAGTGGACCAGAAATATGAGTTCAAGGAGAATAAGGAAAGATATAAAATTTTCTGTCTGTTGGAGACGAGCCTCTTCATATGTTTTTAAATGACAAGAGTAGAGGGCAGTGGTGTTCTGACTCCCTTGTCTGCATTTAAAAGTCATTCACAGCTCTATTTCCAAAATGCCACATTTCTCTAAAAAAAAAAAAAAAAAAAAAAACAGGATTCCAGAAACTGTCTGCTTTGTAATTACTTAAAACACTGGGTAAAAATGTAAAGATGTCAACTCAAAAAATATGAAGCCGTGTACACTGCTTGGCGAAATTCTTGCAGGGGGTACTGAACAGAAAGAGCGTGACACCTGGGCCTTTTACGTGCCTGTCACACGCGAGGTCCCTTGAGGCCTGTCGTGCATTTGGGAGCCACTGAAAAACATATCCATACCTATTACTTCACTTTGCCCCTCAGAGTTGTTCTGGAAAAATGGACAGACTTTCTCACATCCACTAACTCACATCCACTGCTTCAGATGCTGTGACTCAGAGAAATGTAACAGTGTAATCAAGGAATCACCAGCAGAAGGACAGACCCTGGACCTTGTGACTTAACAGGCCCAGAGTCCTTTCCCATAGGGACCTTCCAACTAGGATCCCTTTTCCTCCAGATGGAGTTAGAAATAGACAAGACAGGCCTGGGAGGGCGGCCAGGACCTCTCCTTTCCTTGGGGCTGGGCACAAAGTTCAGTGTTGGTTCTGGCAGGCTGGGGCACAAAGCCCTGCCAACAACCCACTGAAACAGGAAACTCGCTATCAGTTAGCCCTGTGAGCAGGGCTTGGCTCTTCACTGCTTGGGTTTGTCACAGGCCAAAACCCATGTGGCAGGGCTGAGTTCTTCTGTTACCCAGTTCGGAGCCTGGCCTGACCTGCCTGCCATGTCCTGGCTGGTACCTCACTTTTCTCCTTCTCCTCTTCTTCTTCCTCCCCATCCCCCGGGAAGCCCTGCCTCTGAGTAAACAACCCCCTTCCCTTGGAGCCTTCTTGCAAAATCTGGCCTCTCCTATGATCCCTGTTCACCCATCCCCAGCATGGAGAACTCACTCCTGCATAGTCTACCAGGCTACATTCAGTTCTCAACATCTCTACAGTCCGTAAGACTTCCTCCAACTGATCCAAAATCACTTCCTGGCTACCTCTCCTCATTGGCAGGGGCTTCCTGCCATGTGTCTGCTGCATCCAAAATGCCATAGATTGTGGATACTCAGATCCCATCATCCCCACCACTCTGCTATCCTAGCATCCGACCCACCTAAAGACACAGGGCCTCCACAGAGCTCCTACACACACACACACACACACACACACACACACACACACACACACACGTACGTCTGTTTGGTTTACATCGTTCACAGGATGAAGAGCCTGGTGGAGACTGGGTACCTGCAGTGCCACCAGGAAGCTGAGTGGCACTTGTCTCCGTGTACCTGTGCCTACCGTGCTCAGTCCCATGCCCACAGCATTGGGAGGGGGATAGCATCCACTGCTGGATGGAACACTTTTTGTTTGTTGTTGTTGTTGTTTTGCCAGTCCTGGGCTTGAACTCAGGGCCTGGACACTGTCTCTGAGCTTCTTTTTTTGCTTAAGGCTAGCACTCTACCACTTGAGTCACAGAGCCACTTCTGGCTTTTTTCTGTTTATGTGGAACGGAGGAATCAAACCTAGGGCTTCAGGCATGCCAGGCAAGCACTCTACCACTAAGCCACATTCCCAGCCCCTAGATGGTACACCCATTGAGCACAATGGGTACGAGCATCCTTATCTCTTGGAATCAGAAAATGGGATCATCAGACACAATGGTGGTGAGCAGGTTTCTACTGCCGACTTTCCAGCTTGGTGGCCTGCGTGATGAGTTCTTGGTGTGCTTTGTTGAGAAGGATTCTGAGGCACACTGTGGGGATAGGGTGCAGTGTGGTCAGTTTGCGACACCTGCCATCAACATGGAGTTGGGGTGGCCATTAGGGTGCCTGGGCTTTTCATTCTACACAGAGGAGCTCCCCACATCCCCCCAGTCTCACAGGTGGCTGACCCCTCCTTAAGCTGCTGTGGCATGCTGTGCCTGCAGCTGTCAGGTGACTACTGGATCTGTCAACTCACTTCTGTTCACTTCTGATTTTATCCCATTAAAGTGTCAAGATCATTATTATCTCTGCTTTTGCCAAAAAAAAAAAAAAAGAAGAAGAAGAAGAAGAAGCAGCAGCAGCAGCAGCTGAGGGCTTCTAGGCACAAAGGCCTGTTGGGCAGGCAGCAGGGTGGTTGCAGTCAGCTCTTCCTCTGCCAACCGCCCTCCTCCCCTGCAACACTCTCCCAGGCCAGGAAGAGGACTGCCAGTTGGCACTGCCAATGCCATGGTATGGCCATGACTCAAGCTCTTCCACAGGAAGTGCCTTGTATAATGTTTGTGTCAGGGGGAACACTGTTTGTTTGATGGCTGTTACAAGCCAGGGAGGGCCTGGGGAGGCCAGCTCTTCCTGGCGCAGCGATGCCTGGCTGAACAGGGACACCATTCTATTCCACTACAGAGCCCATCTCTGAGGGTGGAGCACTGTTGGGTGAGCAAAGCATGCACTCCCAGCCAAATGCCTCAAGATGATTATGAGCTCCTCGTGCCCGCACACTGCAGTCCTAGTTCATTAAAGGCCTGGTTCTGACCAGCTTCCTGCTGCTGACTTTATCCTTTCTGGCTTTTATGTTTAGAAGCAGCGGTGAGACAAGTGCTCTGAGGTGAGCAGGTCCTTCCTAACAGGAAGAAATTGTCACCAAGCTGCACAGTGACTTTTAGCAACTCTTCTGTTTCACGAGCCTCCCTCTGCTGCTCTCTAAAATAAGCAGGCCAAGGGTATCAAGTGGTTTGCATGCATAGCCCCTCTGCTCATGTCTGCATCCAGGATAGACATCAACAATCCATCATGCCAACACAGCAATGGCTTGAATTTAGCCCACAGGATAAAATTTCCTTGCCCCTTGGAGAGGAGTTTAAAGGTTACATTCCCACATTCATTTTTTCAGGGGGGGCACTGGGGAGTTATTCAATGCCTTTCTTCACTGATGATGAAGCCAGGTTAGCATCCTCTGAGGCCAACCCTCAGCAGAAACCACACCAGCAAGCAGGAAGATCAGACCTAGACACTGGAGAGGAGACAATGTGATCAGTATGGAGTGTTCTGGCTCCCTTTGGCACAGTCTACAAAATGGTGGCTCCACTGTAGCTCACCAGTGGGGCCTTGTACAGGCTCTTTCTTGAGGGTGGATGGAGGGCATGTTACTCAGAAGTTTCACAAAATGCCCAAAGCTCTGAATTCTAGAAAGTCACTGAACTTATCCAATGCCAACTTTCCTCCCTATGCCATTTTTTTCTCAGTGGCCTATTCCTTAGACTATATGGGGAAGACCGGGGACAGAAGGTACTATTCTCCCCACCCAATGAAGAGGTACTTTACTGACACCACTAATAGTAGCATCCTGTACCGATGTACTGAGTGCAGTACTGAGCATGCTGCATCCTCCATGACATTGTGACCATCGGCATTTGGAACTACCAAGATCTTGTTATTTTAGGACCTTCTGTTACGGCAGCCATCACCTAGCCCCATCCTGACTGTTTTCAACATCACTTCCCAGAAGCCAGGCCCTTGCTATGGTCCTGTGAGGACAGGAGGTGGTATGATGGCATAGGAGACCAAAATCAGACAGATAGTGAAGTTCCCATTTCTAGGAACTACTAATCTCATGGCTGAGACAGGCACAGTCAGGGTCTCTATCTAGAAATAGTGGAAAGTGCCCAAGGAGGGTGGAAAGAGAGCTTCAGACCAGGGCAGATCAGAGAAGAATTCTGGGAGGAGGTAGCACTGGAGTTGGCCTTGAAGGATTGAGTGGATTCTGGAAATGATCAAAGGAATTCTTGGGAGAGGGAAGACCATGAGCAAAGTCCAGGAGAATCAGGCTATACTGGCATGAGAAGCCTGGCCTCCCAAACAAGAAACAGGGTATGGAGGATGCTGATGCCCTGTCCTTGGCTCTAGAGATGGAGGAGTTGGTCCCAAGGGTATGTTCTGATTTTACCATGGCTTCCTTGCAGTCAGGGGAAGGCCAGGGCATATCAGATGGGGAGACACAAAGCATGGTTGTTAGCATCTTGTGCCAAGTTAATAACATAGACAGATGGGCCAATGGATGGGACACAACACCACACTACACACGAGACAGACAGACAGACAGACAGACAGACAGACAGACACACACACACACACACACACACACACACAGAGCTGGGAGGGGAGCATGCGGATGGTTCCCATCAGCTGGGAAGAAAATGCAATTGTCCTTGAATCTGAACTTGTGGAAAGAGACACATGAAGTCCTGGGAGCCATACACAAGGAAATGCTGAGAAGGAGGTGGCCAGAGCTGGATCAGGAAGGGTAGGCAGTGATGGATGGGGCTAGAGTGTCCCCAGTACTCTTGAGAACATATGGAGCAAGGGAAAGAAATATGGAGGATGGCATGGATGGAAGCAGAAGTCTGGGGCAAGCCCAGGCAGGGCCTCAGGACCAGGCTGAGAAGAGCTGGCTTCAGTTCAGAGGGAAGAGGTTGCAAAGTTGTGGCCCCTGGAACGACTTTGACCCACCAATATGTTGTATTTGGCAGATTTCAAAAGCAGAATTGTATCACCAGCTTTCAAAGCCAAAGAATTCACATCAAAACGTTCACATCTGGCACAGGATCTGGGCAGAGATCTGGCAGTACCGAGCCGGGATTCCCCACTAAGCAACCACTGACGTGGCAATGAAGAGCAGCCTCTCTCCGCACGTCGGGTCCAGGGCTCCAACTGGACCCGGTCCCCACCACCTGTCCCACTGGCTCCTCTCTCCTTACACAAATGAAGCATATTTGTGGGAGCTTGTGGCAATCTGAGCCTGGGAAGCAGGCAGGAGTGCAGGGATCACCAATGGGGACACTCCAGGGGGAAGGGGAGCTAATGGCGAAATTACTGCTAAACAGCGGGGTTTCCCCAAGTTCCTCCAGGCAGGGGAAGGCACCAGCTTGTCAGTTACCTTCTCTTGATACTTGGTCAGCTCACAGAAAGTGCTGCCCGCACCAGCCCCCAGACAAACTGAGGAGGGAGAAAGGTAGGTAGGCAGGCACTGGAGATAAATGATAAGGGTTGTGCTGCTCACCCCTCAGGGTCGGGAAACCCTCAGGTGTGAGGAGTTCCTCGCATCTACAGAAGGTTCCAAGCATCTGCCTGACACAAGACTTCATGCATGGAGTCTTTCTCTATCAGGCACAAAGAGACCAAGTCTTCAGGCTAGAAGTGGACCATCAAAGGCCTATCTTGGAGCATCCATCTTCCCCTGGAGGCAGAGGGGAGTCCCTGAAGGCTCTCAGCCAGGGAGGGGTGCAGATCCTTCCCCGACTCTGGCCTCTACTCCCACCCTGGCTCCAGCCCCGACCCTCATGAAGCACTCACCAAGGGTCTGCTGGTTGCGGACCCCGCCGATCACCACACAGATCTCTGCAGGTACATCGCCGGTCCCATCCTTGCTGACGGCCTTCTTCTCCTCCTTGGCCTCGCCCTGCCAGATCACCTCCTGGATGTAGTCATCAGGTAGCTCTGTCTTCACCTTCACCTCCGTCATCGTCCCCTGCTCGGCACTCAGCGAAGCCTCGGCCGGCCCCGGCTCCGGGCCCTCCACCTTGGAGCTCTTCTGGCTGCGCTTCAAGCGCTCCCTGGGAAAGGAAAGGAGTCAGCTCACAGTGGACCCCCCATACCTGCACCCCAAACCATCAGAGGATCCTGGCTGCCATGGCACCCCTGAGACATGCAAGGCTGTGTGCAGAGTAAGTGGAAGGTCCCTGGCTGCTCAGCCTCTCACACGGCCCCCACGGTGGGCCCAACACTCCCCTAGGAGTCCTAGGGTCCCAAGGAACATAGTTTGAAAATCTCTGGGCTAGCATTTTACAGCTGGGGCAACTGCAGTTTGTACCCTTCTCAAACTTCAATGTGTTCACAGATCAGATAGAGAGAGACCTTGATATATGCAGATTCTGGTGCAGTCCGTGTGGGCTGGGCTGGGGTGTGCGTGTGCATGTGTGTGTGTGTGTGTGTGTGTGTGAGAGAGAGAGAGAGAGAGAGAGAGAGAGAGAGAGAGCAGGGCTTCAACTAAAGGCCTCATGCTTGTGCTTCGTTTCCACTAAAGTGTGACCCTCTGCCACCTAAGCCATGCCTCCATTTTTTTTGCCAGTCCTGGGGATTGAACTCAGGGCCTGGGTGATGTCTCTGAGCCTCTCTGTGCTCAAGGCAAATGCTCTACCACCCGAGCCACACAGCATTACTTCTGCCTTTTTCTGAGTAGTTTATTGGAGATTAAGAGTCTCACAGAGTTTCCTGTCCTTGGCTGGCTTCAAACTGTGATCCTGAGATCTCAGCCCCCTGAGTAGCTAGGATTATAGGCATGAGCCACTGGTGCCTGGCCATGCCTCTATTTTCGACTGCAGTTCTAGCAGGCTCCCAGGTCAAGCTGGATTCAGGCTGGCAGATGGTCTCTGAGTGGTAAGGACACAAATAGGATGCCCTCGGTAAGTGTCACGTTCACCTCACACAGGTGACTCTTACAGATGCCCTCCCAGGGCGTACTAATGAAGTAATCTCAGCACACTAGGCACCTTTCAGACCTCTCCATCCAGCTTCTAGCTCATCACCTCGTTCTATTTCCTCTGCATCCCTGGCTGCTAGGTAAAACTATCTCACCGAATTGTATGCCCCACATGTGGACTGTGGTCCAACTTAACTGGCCGAGCACTTGCCTACCAAGTGTGAGGTCCTAAGTTCAAACTCTAATATCACCAAAAAAAAGTCTCTGCTTCCTGCTCAGTGTAACTTAAGCTTGTTGTGACGCCAAAGGGGTCACCAGGAAGGCAGAGTGGATCCTCACGATGGACAGAATGGACAGTCAGACAACAGGGCTGGGCATAAATACACTATACGGGAGGATTCTGGAGCAAAGTCAGGTCTCCAGCCACATCTCCTGACTCCCCATCTTTTCCACTGACCTATCGGCTTCAGGGTCTCCTGGGTTTAGGAGTGAGGAATAGAAGGGCCTCCTAAGGGAAGACAGACTCTGTGGTTCTGTCCATATCCTGCATGCCACATAAATGCTTGATCACACTGGGAAATACAACTGTAGACAAGGGACCGGCCAACCCCTTCCTCAGGTCACAGCAGACAGGAGCCATAAGAGCGCCCCAGCTCTGCCCACAGTGGTGGGCATGATGACACATACCCATCCACCCCCCACCATGACAACTTGGAGCCCTACAGTGCCAAGGGCACAGACAACTTCCTCCTCTTCTCTCGACTTCTACGCTTACGATTTACAAGCCCAAACGTTGCTTTTTCCCTCACATGCTCCGCATTTAATTAGATGTCCTAATAACAATAGAATCGTAGAAGTACTTATATCACTTTGAATTAGTGGTGCAGCTCCTTCTAACTTCTTTAAAAATTTTTTTCATATATCATTTTTTAAAATAGAGCTCATTATTTTAATTATATCCATTTAAATGTACAGTGGAGCCCTTGGATATTCTCAGCACGAATCATTAGGTATATTAGTGAAAAAGCTCTCCGAATCTATCTACATGCTGACACTCCATAATCTATTCTATTTGTGGCACTGTAAAATAGATTTATATATAGATAACTACAAAATAGTTGCTCAAGATACGTTATGAATTTTATATTTAACCCAAGTCACACTTCAACATAAAATCCAAAGTCAGGCACTAAAAGGATGCTTTTCACTAAGTACCTGCTATCTATGGTCAGCAGTTACTGCCTCAGCCCGTGTGTCTGGAGAGAAGCCGGACTAAATGGGAGGTGCTAAGAGCTACGAGGTAATGGTTTTCAATGTATGTTCCCCGAAGAACCAGGGGTTCCACAGCAATGGCTAGGGGACATTGAAGATGCTGGGATAGGTTGGACAGGGTTGAATAAGGCTCTAAACCCCATTCCATCCATCTTCAGCAAGTAGGGCTTTGCTTTCCCCTAACATATATGCGTTAAGCTTTATCCTCCCTGTAGGAAAGTGATTAGTCTGGGTGCCTAACTACTCAGGGGGCTGAGATCTGAAGATCAAGGTTCAAAGCCAGCCCAAGCAGGAAAGTCTGTGAGACTCTTCTCTCCAACCAGAAAACTGGACATGGCCTGTGGCTCAAAGTGCTAGAGTACTAGCCTTGAACAAAAAGAACTCAGGGGCAGTGCCCAGGCCCCGAGTTCAAGCCTCATAATCACCACCAATAACAATAAAAAAGCCAAAAGTGGTTCTGTGGCTCAAGTGGTAGAGCAAAAGGCTTGAAGAGGAAAGAAAAATATTTAAAAAAATGTAGGGACAGTGCATAGATTGTGAGTTCAAGCCCCAGTACTAACACCAAAAACAACCACAAAAACTACAACAAAAGAAGTAGTGGAGTGATTATTTCTATCACTCCAAGGCAAGTTCATGTCCTCATCTGTGAAGGGGACCTTATTTGGAAAAGAGGTGTTGGCAGATGTGACTAAGGAGGATGGGAATTGAGTGTAACCTTGGGTTATCTGGACCTACATGTAGTCACAAGTATCGTTGTAAGATAAAGGGCCGCTGAGAAAGAAAGAAGAGGAAGTGGCACTGGGAAGAGGAGGCTGTGTGAGGCAGAGACTAGAGCGATGGGGCCACAAGTCAAGAAATGCTGTCAGCGCCCAGGAGAAAGACAAAAGAAAGAAAAAGGTCCCTAAAGGTCTCCAGAGGGAGTAAAGCTCTGCTAACACCTTGATTTCAGATTTCTGGCCCAGAATAAACTTCTGTTGGCTCCAGACACCCAAAATCTACAGCATGCCAGTTCCCTCTTCTCTGCAGGGGACATGCCTCCTGCTTGAGACTGTGGGCAGTACCAAGACCTATACCTGCCCTGAGGCATGGCCACACAGCGCCAGTTACTTCGCCTCCCATGTATCATGCCCTCTTGTGTCTCAGACCTCTATTAAGTAAACTAAATGCCAATCAAACACAAGCACTGACATGAGATCTGAGCCCCCATTACGTAACAAGAGGCAGGCGTCACCTGCTGTGTGGACACGGGACAAAGGGGCGATTCACGTCCTGAGGAAGAAATTTAAAGCTTAGAAAATGTATATTTCTGGAATTTCCCTAGTTCTAGACCATAAATATAGAACCATGGAAAGTGACATTAAGAATGGGTAGTCTCACTTGTTATAGCAGCAACAGGAAACTAATGCAGTATAAAAGATGGAATGTGAAGAAATGGCTCCAAAGCAGGGAAGTTTATAAGCCAGGGCCGCTCACTTGGTTCTTACTCACCTCCACATTTGTATGTGGCCACTGTAATGTGCCAGGGATTCTGCCTGGCACTCTGGCTGTTTCAGAAATCTCTTCCTCTGATTCTTACCTAACTGTTCTAACATTGGTACTTACCCCCATCAAACCTGGTGTTCAAAGAGCCCTGTGACCAGACGGGAACAAAGCACAGAACACAGCCTGTGTCTGTTTACCTCTGCATCTCCAGCCCTAACACAATGCCTAGCAGCAACTACACACACACACACACACACACACACACACACACACACGTACGTGATGTCAACCAGAAGTCTGAAGCCACACAACCTTGAGGGATGAGCTTAGTCTGTAAACGACTCTGCTCCTGCACTGGTACCATTACCCCTAAACCCACAGCCTAAGGCAATGCAGTCAAGTAACTCAGCAATGGCTGAAGTGCACAGAAGTCAGACAGCACTGTTTTAAATGCATAATATCTACAGTGTCTTACAAAAAAAAAATTATGGCACTGGAAGTTCTACCAAGTTAGAGTACCTATGATGATCTTTAGCACCTTGAGTTGACTTCAGTTCTGTTTGAGCAACTGATTCCCTGGGCTCACCATCTTACACTTCAGTTTTCAATCTTTTTTGTTATTGTTGTTGTTCAGGCTGGTCTCAAACTTCTGGGCTCAATTGATCCTTCAGCCTCAGCCTCTTGAGTAGATGGGTCAACAACTTGTTGCTATCCCACCCAGTTTCTAGGACTCACATCTGCACAATGAGTTAGAAACTGACATCTAAAGCCCGACCAGTGGTAAGACTTGTACCCAGTCTCCACTTCCCCCAGAGGTGCCATTTACCCTGCTACCTCCTCACCTGAAACAAACAAAGCTCTTTGCAATGTGCAAATATCACCTTGCTTAACTCCTTCCGGAAGGAATCTTCACGAAAACATTTTCCTCTTTAGGGAGGAGAGCTAGCTAGCAAGCTGAGCTTGGAAACAAATGCATGGATGCGGGGCAGGGTGTGTGTGTGTGTGACACAAACAGGTGCACATCCCAGCCTGACTGCAGTACCCACCAGGACCAAGTCCTCTGCCACTCTACTCATCTGCCCACCCACCAACGATCTGAGTGCAGACCGCCTACTACCGCCACCTACTGGCGGGTGTCAGTACTCCCTCTCATGGCCACATGAAGCCTTGATGAAGCTGTTGCTCCACTCCATCACCAGAGCTGCTCTTCTGAAGCCCCCGTGACCACGGTACTGTTCAATCCAATGGTCCCTTCCCGGGCTCCAGTCAACGTATCCGCCATCCACAGTCTTTAACAAAGCCTCCTCTCTCCCTTTCATCCTTTCTTGCTGCACCTTGTGCTCACCTGGGGGCCTCCACCTTCTGGCTTCTCCTGGTCAT